ATCTCTAAAATTTTAAGAGATTAGATTTATAATTAATTTTTTTATAAAAATGATTATGAAGATTTAAGAAAATTTTTATTTTTTTTTAAAATACTTATGGGTAGTTTAAGCACTTAACCACTTGATGAGTTTTTGCACTTTTATGTTCTTATGGAAGTTCTTTTTCTTCAAAAAGTTCTCTAGTAAAAAGTTCACTTCTTAGAGAAGAATGCTTTCTAAGAGTTGTTTTCTCAGCCTCGCACATTTTTCATACACAAATCACAAATAAAGTTAGAAATTAAAAATCACGTAATATAAACATTTTATATCTAAGATTATCAAAATATTTGATTAAATTCAGGTCAACCTGAGGTCACCCTGGGTCAAGCAAAGGTATGACCCTAACCCGACAGGTCAGGTTGAATATAGGACTCATGTCAAATAATGATAAACTTGATTCAGATTTTAAACACAAGTCAGGTCAAATGATCCAGATTTGACCCAACACTTTCAGAGCACTATTGCTAAGATCCAGTGAAATCTTCATTTTAATTATTTTTTATTTTTATTTTTTTATTTTTATTTTTTTCTCTTTTTATTTCAATATTTTTTTTGAAAAAAATGAAACGAAGAAGAAAAATGAAAAAGAAAAAATATAGTAAAAGAAAAAACAATTAAAAAATAATTAAAAGCTAAAAAGAAATAAGAAATATATTAAAGATAATGAAAAGAAAGAAAGAAAAATAAATAAAAAGAAAAACGAAAATAAAAAAAAATAAAAAATTAAACTAAAACAAACTAAAGAAACTAAAAAAGAAACAAAAAAGAAAAATGAACAAAATAAAGACAAAAAAAAATTAAAGAAAAAAATAAAAATAAATAATGTAATAAAATAAAAGAATACGAATGAAAAACAAAGAAAGCAAAAAATAAAAAAAAATAAAAGAAACGAAAATTAAAAAGCAAAAAAATAAAATGATAATGAAAAAACAAAAAGAAAAAATATTAAAAAAATGATAAAACGAAAATAAAAAATTAAAAAAAAAATTTAAAAAGAAAAAAATCAAAAAAAAGTAAAAGAAATAAAAAGAACAAAACAAATTAAGCAATCAAATGAAATATACAAAGGAAATGAAGCAAACGAAGGATATGAAGAATACGAAGAATATGAAGCAAAAGAAGCAATCGAAACAAATTAAGCAAACGAAGGATATGAAAGATACAAAAAAAACAAAATAAATAAAAAAATAAATTAAAAAAAATTAAAAAAAAATATAAAACGAAAATTTAAAAAAAAGTAAAATGAAAAAAAATTAAATTATAATTAAGTCTGCGAGAGGAGGATTAAAAAATCCGAGGGGGGAATTAAAAAAATAAATAAAATATTAAATTAAAAAAAAAGTCCGCAGGGATATTAAAAAATTAAGTTAAAAAAAAGTCCAGAAGAATTAAAAAATAAAATTAAAAAAAAAAGGTTTTAGGGGGAATTAAAGGGCAAACAAAAAAAAAATAATTAATTTAATAAAAAAAAACTGAGGGATTGGAAAATAAAATCGAAATAATGAAATAATTAAATTAAAAAAAATATATATAAAATATTCTTTTTTTTTGTCCAGTTGCGAAAAAATCGCATTATTAAATTAACCAAAAAATAAAATAAAAATCGGATACTAAAAAAAAAAAAAAATAATTATAAATAAACCAAATAACCAATAATCTGTAATCAAATTCTATTAAAAAAAATAAACAAATAAAAAAAAACTAATTTTAAAACAATCAAAAATAAAAATTGTATTATGCATTCATGTATGCATATATGCAGTATTTAATTATATGTAGCATTTATCATATTACTAACAAATCCTATATATATATACAAGCATACATGTATGGAATAATAAATCATATTTGCATTCTTTTTTACAGTAATTTTTAAAAAAAAAATAAATAAAATCATTGTAATTTTTAAAATTTGATTTTTACCAAAATTTTTTTACATTTTTTTTTATTAATAAAAATAAACTTTTATTTATTAAAATTTATAAATTTTATCTACAAATAAGATGTCAGATTTTACAATATTAGAAGATATTGAAGCTAAATATTCAGAACGTGAAAATGAAACTGTAAAAGAAAGAAAATAAAGGCAAAGTAATATTAGACAAGCTAGAAAAAGATTTCTTGATCAACAAGCAAGAGAAGAAAGTGTAGAAGTAAAACTATCAAGTAAAATAAGATCACAAACACAAAGAAAAATTTACGATCACAATAGAGTATTGCAAATAAAAAACAAAAAAAAAACTTATGATTATATAAATATATTGCAAAAAAGAAAAATTAATAGTCAAATTTTTAAAGATAGGATATTGCAATATAGATAATTATACAGAAGATAAAGTAGAAAACAATAGACATATATTTGAAAGAATAAATAATATTTGTAAATACTGTTATGCTTTAAAATGAAAAAATGAAACAAAATGATTCTATTGTTTAAATAGATAGGTAGTGTTAGCACCTCTTCTTCCAGTTCCACAAATTTTGTATAATTTACTTACACAAAATAATTCAATATCAGATGAACCTTATATAACTCAAATAAGAGCTTATAATCAGGTTCTTACATTTACATTTTTAGATGTAAACCTTAATAAAGAACTTGCAAATGCCAAAAAGGAGATTTATACATTTAGAATTCAAGGTGAATTATATTATCAGATTGGTAGTCTAATGCTAAGAGATGATAATCAAAAACTAACATTTGCTTAAATTTACTTTTATAATTTAAATATGGATAATCAACTTCAAAGAAAACAAGAAATATTTTCAAATTTGAATGCTGAAATTCTCAAAGCATTATAAGATAAATTATTAGAGAATAATTCATTTGTTGAGCAATTTGTAACTTTAGAAGCTAAAGCCAAAAGTGAATCTAATAATTTACAATGAAGAATAGTCATCCATAATATATATGGTAAGAATATGAGATAATATAATAAACCAATAACATCAGAAGTTGCAGTTCTCATCTATGACTATAATATTTAACCTGAATATCGAGATATTATTATTCAAACTCATGAAAGAAAATTAAAACATATCTCTAAATTAAATGGTACTTATGATCTATTACAATATCCTTTATTATTTTTATATGGTGAATATGGATGGTATTAAAATGGTATTGCAATTGATTGCAACTGGTGACAAATAAGCATCACAGGGTTGTAACTAGTTGCAAAATTAATAAAAATTAAGTTGCAACTAGTTGCTACCAGTGACAAATAAGCATTACAGGGTTGCAACTAATTGCAAAATTAATAAAAATTAAATTGCAACTAGTTGCAACTGGTGACAAATAAGCATCATATGGGCTCTTTGTAATAGAAAGGAAGGAAACTACTAAAAAAATTTTTTTTTGCTTTATAAGCTAAATATTATTTTTTTAATAAAATAAGTTCAAATTTA